ATGATTAGCTGCCCAGTGACCGAGAGTATTTGCTTTCTGCTTTTGAGGTCTGGGGTTCGATCCCCAGCTGGGTCGATTGATTTGCACTCCTGATGAGATCCAATCAGGTCAAAACAGCTGTACGGTGCTTCCTTACCTTTCAGCTCATACTTTATTTACTCTATACACGACGAATTTTCTCTTCCGGCATATATTTGACACCATATTTTTGACCTGCCACGCGAAAGATGTTATTCGTTTAGAGAATTTAGTGGCCGAAAAGCCAAAGATTGAATTATGGTGGTTCATTTTATCCAGTGTTGATAGGAACATATCAGCCATTAATGGAGCTTATGACGATCCAATGGCTATATAATCTCTTGGTCAATAAAAACCAGCCGTTGAAAAGAAACTACGATTTAGATGCAAATTGAGAAGTAAAGTACTTGATACGTATTAGATATATACCTGCTCATATTTTTATTGCCTATTTTTATACCACCTGAAATCGGCAGTTTCTACCAACAGAAAATTTTGGAACAAAAATTTAAACTTTAGCGAAACTAGTCTTTTCCTGTAGGTGTTAGAAACTACCTGTTAAACTGTGTTATGTCAGTCTCAAGCGTACCGGTTTAAAAATTTCTATAACACACTGAGTTTTAGCTTGTTTAGGGATCTTTGATATAGGGACATTTGGTTGAACAGAAACATTATATCTGTGAATCCTAGGGAAATCGATTAGTCCTGGAATGGGTAATCCCATCAGTTTAGTTCTTCCGTAAGTTTGGTCGGATAAACGTCTTGCTAACTTCAGAGTGATTAGGAAGCTCAAGATTGTCTTACAGGTTTTTCAATTTCATCCTTCATCTTGAGCTTCTCCGAGAGATATTCCAGATTTTGGGTATATCATACTGGTATTCCCCTCGATCCAACAGATGAACAAGCTGAAACACTTCTCCAGTTTCAATGGCAAAACGTTGAATTTCCCCTAAGCCCCGTCAATGTGTTCCCATACTACTTGTAAATGTATCTGTGTTGTCCAGTGAAATATCGAATGTTTTAATCGTTCATGGTCTGTATCTGCTGTTGGTTAAACGCAATAAATTAGATTTGCCCATCACATTGTCAAAATTTCATCTCCATTCTATAAGATCATTCCCCTTAACTGGACGAAAAACATCTAGGCTGGACATATTGCCCCTTTTCGGGTCGTCTGTTGTGCATTCCACATAGATCTCACGGCTGAAAGTTTGTACGAAAGTATTAGAGTTTATTGAGGAAATTACCTTGTGGTAGCCACGACTAACTATGGATCTCTTGTGATTAACATTAGAGTTCATCATTCAAAATGGCTTGAACAAGGGATAATCGACACCAAATCACATTATTAACGAAACAAAGCTATTTATTGACAAAGTATTGAAAATCGGCTCGCATGAACAGGTGAAATAGGATAGTTATTCACAGGCATGACCGAAAGATGTATATTTTTGTTGCAACCCCAAAATTTTCCTGTTTCAGGTAACTCTTGAAGTACTCACTATCGACTTGCTTTTAAATCCTCAATTGAAGACCTGTTACACACTGTCTTCTTCGGGCACGGGTGGTTTTATTGGGCTGAGGGAACGACAGCACACTTTCCGGGTCTATAGGTGGACGTTCCGATGTTCCATCGGAAGGTAGATCACCTAAGGGGAGTTGGTAAGTTCTAATTTCAAACCATCCATGAAGGAATGCATGAATTTATTTCAAGACTACTGCGCGGTGCACCGTTCAATCAGGTGTTGGGGTGTTATAGTTTGCACTCGGATGATTAATTCGTATACGTATCGAAATCCGTGAAGTAATAGTCCAACCGAAATCTAGGACTCGGAAAGAAATCAGAACACAGCACCCAAAAAGCGGAATCGAACTATAATGAGCGGAAAGTTGGAATGTACAAAGATGTCGTGTTCAATATAACAACGGAGTTCACAGTTTATTTACAATCGCCACATGGGGCTTATTACACATCCTGAATGAGAGCGTGGTCCTAATTTTATAATTCCAGAGGACCGGTGCTGGCTTGAGGAGAGTTATTTATTGCGAACCAGAGTTAGGGTATGGATAATTTGATGTACATATAACAAGATATTTCATTTGGAATATGTCATTGCAATTCCCGACAGCACACAAGTTAATGAATGGGACAGGCCGCTGTTATCATTTCGAACACAGCAATTCGCTCTGAGAGGTCTTTTTCATTTTTGACCGTTGAAAGAGACCGCCAATAGCATCAATTTGCATAATACTCACAAAAGTGATTAGTACTTCACAACACTAAGAGCGCAAGACTTGAACAACTGAATACCAGCTCCTAGTAGTCTGCTGACTCAAACCGTTATCTCACACATTGTCTTTTCAGATAGAAATATTCTGTGAACAACTCCGGCTCTGTTCCCTCAAGTTACCTCTCTATTATGATTCGGGATACTGACAAGATTGACTTGACCAAAAATGGCGAACGGGAATTATGCTATCCCCACTCAGACCTATGGGTAAGCGCATCATAGATCTGAATTCGTCCCAAAAATGCTGGAGATACACCATGAAGTTAATTTCATTGTTGTGCACGTTGTTGGGCATGGTTATCTGCATGCCCCTTTGAAAGGCTTCGCTAAAACTTCCCTTCACCGTTGCATTCTGGAATTTATCTACCCAAATTACTCAGTTCACGTACTTTACCCACATATATAAAAGAATTCATGTTAGAATTCGAGGATGTTGTGATGCAATCGCGCTGGATTGTCTGGAGTGTCAGTCACTAATCAACGGCACGAATACTGTCGACGCGGAAATAACATTCGTATTGGTTAGCAAACCGCTCTCGGTTGTACTACGCCCAGCTGGATGAGTGTACCTGCAGTGTGAGTGACAGTGACCGTTTATTTTTTGGGAAGCTTCCAGATTACGCCTACCTGCTCTGGCGAAAGGAATTTTGCCACTCTTTTGTCTGGTGTTTCCAGGAATCATCACTCAATGAATATGTGGGAACTTTCATAGATAAACTGGATAATTTCGTCTGCTTCCGACAGGCCGTTTTTCATTTATCTATATAGTGTAAATGGAAAATGAAAAACGGTCTGATCAGCTGCCCGGTGGCGTAGTGGGTAGGACGCTTGCGTTGTGCCCACGAATTCCCGGGTTTGATCCCCAGTCGGGTCGATGGATTCGCACTGCTGATGAGACCCAACCAGGTCGAAACAGCTATCCAGTGCTTCCGAGCTTTTCAGTTCACGCTTCATTTGTATATGCACGACGAATCGTCATTTGAAATTTAACCAAATCCTCCATTGCCCACATGGAATATCTTTAAACCATTTTCCATCTCCCTCTGATAACTTAAAGACTCATAGAAAGCTGAAGAACAAAGTAAGCCATATGAAGTACTTAGGTGTTACACTTTAGAGTAAATTTCGCTGGTCTTTATCCACCCAGTCTCTGTCTCACAGGCTGAAAGTTCTCTTCTTTCAGATAAGAAGACTGCACCATTTCTGTTGTCATTTGCCGGTGATAAGAGGTTTCGTTCTTTCTATACATCTTTACCGCTCCTCTGTAATTTTCCCTGGTTTGCTGGAGACCGATTTAAAGCTGCTGAGGCGTGGCCTCTTAAGGACCAGCGGTGTTTCCCAAGTTCTTTTATGTGTTCTGATTGGTAATATCTGTGATGTTCATATTGATACGTGCTTGAAGTTTATTGACAATATTGTACTTGATTGCACTCCTTCTTTATACATTGACCTGTGTACACGAAAATCACACTCGTCCACTGATTCCAAATAAAAACTCATCCCATCTTGGATAATACCCCAGATTAACCTTTTGGTACTCTATCTCTCTCGGATACTGAACGGCAAGTGAAGTGTTCGTTGAAAGCTTTCTAATGCATTCAGTAGTTCATTCACATTTCTGCAGGTCTAATGTGCCACCCAACCACCCCCATTAATCAGTATTGTGACGGGCACTTTTTGGCTGAAAACCCGTATATAACTGGCTAAAGCTTCAATTAAATTTAATACTTCTGAAAAGGATCCCAAAGGAAATGAAACCTACCGTTCTCTTCGTGTATAGATATATTCAAAACGGGAACCGAAACGCCTTTTCGTTTATGGGTCGCTTGAAAGAATGCCACCTTTACCTTTTACGATGGGCCTACGCTTGTTCATCCACGGTCAGAAAAGTCATGTGATAATGTCTATGTGCCATTTCACATAGAGATTTCTTGAGGATAAACCGGTTTTCATCTTAGTCGGATAACATTCTGGAAGTTTTTCTCAACTTAATCAGGTCATTCAAGCAGATTTATAACCCTTTAAATTGATAAAATATCTTTCTTACTGTCTTCGAACATACCGGACGTTATCATACTGCCATCGGCATCCGGATATTTGACTTCTAATTTGTCAGCTGTAACAGGATTCATACTCCAGTTGGGATTAGTTTCAATTTGATGGATTTAATACTACGTGAGGAAAATTGGATTTACTGTGCAACGCAAACAGGCACCAAAACAACTGTACGTAATGACCAACAGTACGTATTCACCGAGTCCTGCTGGAATTGTATAAGCTTGTTTGCAGGTTGAAATTTGGCTTATCAGACTGGCATCCAAAACCCACATGAAACCTATACAGACTTAAAAACCGGCTGGAACGAAAAAAACCAGCTTGTGCTTGCTTCTGTGAATAGGGCTACGAAATTTGACCGATTTTGATATAGGCTGGAGTAGGGGAACACAAGTCAGAGCTATGTAGGAGAAGATATTTCCGTCCGTTGCACAAAACATCACGTTAAACAAACATGAACAAAATTTGTTTTAATTAAAAAAACAAAACTAACACATCGAGAGTATGGGTAGGTTATCACCTAGGTTCGAATAACTATATAGCATCACATTCAACTGCCAAGGTTGGTGATTTCTTCATGCGGGGATGTGATGTGGGGGCAAATAAGAGTGAAATGAAGCAGATCTGGAATAATTTTCATTCAATCTCGATTCGCGCGGCACCAAAGTCGTTGTGAGGTACGGCAAGTGTAGATGCGGTACCAATTACAACTCCACTGACAGCGGGAAGGGCGGTAGTCATGTTGTTGATGTTTGCGGTGGTGGCGGCGGAAGAGATTATCGGAGAAGTTCCGACATTACCCGTGGTAAAAGCAAAAGGAATGGGAGTGGTAACGGAATCAATCGGGACTGAGGCTGAGAACGTATTCATCTTGCTGGATAAAAATGATTCGGCCGAATTAATTCCA